GAAAAATATTTGGAGCAGGATTTATTTCATTGCGTTTAACTGCTCTTGAAATATTTTGTCAAGATTTAAAATTATTTCAATTTTATATATATATATATATTTATGATGTGTATCATTATTATTTGAGCTATTTAGTTTATTAAATTTTACAATTCTTTTTTACATTTTCTATAAATAATTTCAAAATTAAAATTGAATCAAATTTACTTTTTGATCGATATATTTTAATAAAAATTCATTAAAAATTCATTTAAAAAATGTACGAGTTAATGAACGTAAAACGATTCAAAAAAAGAAAAAAAGGAAACGAAAATCAGACAAGTGCAACACTGTTCGATCGAAAAACAGGTTTCGTTTCTTATTTTGCTGGTCTTTCGTACATTTTTGTGATATTTATATAACTGCAACGTCGAGTTATAAAAACGAAGTTGTAAATTCACAGTTCGAAGTGAGTGTTATTAATTCTTCATACGTGAACTGTAATTAAAATGAATATCTTCGATGAATATCTTTTTGATAGAGTTTATAAGAATATCTGTTATTGTAAGGCTCTTTAATTTAATTAAGCTAATTTGTTGCCTCATTACGGAAAAAAATGATTCTACCGAAGATGAATTCGAAGTTTAATTATATATAATCATTCTGAAGTTTAATTATTCCGTTGTGCAAGCGAAGATAGCTTCGAATGATTAAATTTAAACGAAGATATACACTTGTACTTCAATAATTTTTAAAGGAAAATTGTTCGATTTATCTGCAACGCTCGATACGAGGATTGTGATATCAATTTTGATTCTTGTAATTTTCTTTAATGGCGACACGTGTATCAAATAAAGTTCAATTCATTAAATTAATCAGATTATTTAAAGTTGCAGAAGAAAATCGTCTCGTAATTTATTTAAAAAATAATTTTATTTTTTCGAAAATTCTATCGTAGTTCTTAAATTTTAATCATTTCTCGATTTCAAAAAAGATTTACCAATCAAATTAAATCACATTAATTTATAAAATTTAACAGAACACAAATATTAATAAATAAATATATACGAAATTGAAAAAATTAATTAGACCAATTTTATAAAGAAGAAACGTTCGTTTAATTCATCTCCTCTGCTATTCCTGATCAATTATTCAAGTTTTGGCGCATACAGGATGGCGAATAAACGATAAGATCGGAGCAGAAATGGGCGTGTTACCGGTATCGCGCGCTGTAATCAGGCTTGTCGAGCGTTGATCAAAAGTATCACACGTGAGAAACGAAGTTAGTTGCAAACGCGGGTGTTAACTTCCGACCGAGGTAATTTCCGCTCCCAACACTCTTTGTCCCCTTTGAACGCGGAAAATCGCGAATAAAAGTCGAGGGCCACGTGTCCACGTGTCCTCGATTACTGAAACGTTTTACATAACGCGTGCTAAACTCTTTGAATTGTTGTTCGTTTCCAGGTATTGCATCTGTCCTTTTATTTTCCCCTTCCTTTAATTAAAATGTTTCAAAATTTACAAAATATATTCATACAGTTGAACTCTAAAATTCTACATCCATTTCTCAAGGATCTTGTTACATTATAGAACAATTGGCTTTAATAAATTATATTGAAATAGATTAAATTGTATATATTTTAACTTTTGATGATTCTAATTTTATATATAAACATAGTCTCCATCTAATTGTCACACAACCAATATTCATTTATACAAAGCTCAAGGGATGTTTCTCATTCCTCGTGCTATCCTGTTACATCCGAGAGTGAGTCACTGATCGAGCGCTTCTAAAACCGAGTGTATTCGTCCACTTCCCTAGTTACAACCTGTGTACAAACATTCACAATTAAAATATTCACTCGTGGCTAGGCACAATTCACTAAAATTCCCAGAATAATCATCCACGATTTTCCCTCCACTTCTAAAACCACTCCTCATCGTCTGACTTAATTCCATTTCTACTTCATTTCGAGAAACACGTTACTGTTGTTTGTCACATTCTACGAAATTTCAAATATAGTATTCACATAGTTTTGAAATAAGAATCCATTGGTTAAAAGGCTTTTGGCACGGTTTCTGGGGGAAAAACAGAGGAAATTAAATCGATACCAGTCGAGCCAGTCCCCACCTGGCGTCCA